GCTGTTTTATTTCCTTAGCGTGTTTGGTATGGCGGCAAATTTTTTTGGTTACCTTGATTATTGGAAAATCTTTTTCTCCAAAAAAATGTTTTTCGCCAAAATGGGGAAATTGACTTTTGTCACGGGTGGAAGTCATTTCCTTTTAGAAATAATCCAACTTTATTTAATCTCACTGTCCTGTTTCCAAGTGTTATTGCATTTTATGAGATCTATTACAAAAAGTAGTGCTTGGTAACCTATATTTTAACGGAAATCTAGCTGAAGAAATTACATTTCTTTGATGCAAGTCTCAGTCTCTCAGAGATGCAATATGAGCCTTAAAGTGATTATGCATTGGTATTCGAGAGAGCACCACGGCACTTGATCAGTTGATCTCACTGTAGCACTGCATTATCTTTGTTTTCTTCAAACTAGTTTTGGCTTCATCTGCTCTTTAGCTCTTTTACTGGTGCAATTGTTGTTCGGTTAGCCTTAGAACCATATAAGGCTTGTGTTAGAGTTTCAGTGAACTCTTAACCATATAAGGCATGTCATTTTGGTATTTCAGTGAACTCTTAACCAGAGTGGTTTTATACATGCTGTCCCATGAAAATCTTCAGTTATAAATCTCTTTGCTTTTTCTGCAAAAGATAACTTGAACTAACCATCAAAGTAGAGTAGATTTTGTATATATAGGTAAGATCTGTGCTATTCTCATGAGGCAATCCATTACGCTGTCATCCACAAGCAGATTCTGCAATAACAAGGAATAAAGAAAGATGAATCTAATATATAATAGGCTCAGTCTGATTCTTGGTTGAAAGTGTGAAACATGGTGTGCATGCATGCTTGCATGTATGCGAGCCTGAGAGAGAGTGAACATGAGGGGTAGAAGAAGAGAGAACGTAATTGGGCTCCATATAAGTAGGAAGTGACAATTAGATATTAGTATGTTATATACTATAATAAACTAAGCTAGCAAGGATAGGTTCACAGCTTTTCATCTACTGGTATTATACAACATAAACTATGTATACATCGAAAACATTCCTGCTATCTGTTGACAAATCAGACAGCAGAAATGATATTAACTTTGAGTTTACTAGAGGATCTTTGTTTTCTCAATATAAATATGTAGAATGTTAGTTTTTCTGCCTCTCAATCCCCAAAAGTTTCATTCTTTGCTGTAAGTTGACCTTTCCCATATTTTTCCTCTTGTAATGGGCTTGCCAATTTCATTCATGGCGTCATAGTAGGATATAATAATGCATGGTTCTGCTTCTCATCCTACATGTTTTAATCTATTTAATGGCTTTTAAGATTAGAAAAAGATGAGTAAAGATAGTTGGATGAAAGAAGAAGCTAAAATTTACATATTGGGTTTTTGGATCATCAATTTAAGAAGAGGCGATTAAGTATTATGTACACCAACTTTTATTTGTTCTGTTGCCTGTTGCACTTTGTCTCTCCATATTAAATGAACAAAAATGCCAAAACTTTGAATTAGTTTGTTGTGGACATCAATATTGTTGTCCTCTTGATGAAATGCATTTCCTGTATCCCTGTGGATGCGCCTAGTTATCCTTGTTTTGTCCACTTCATTGGCAGGTTGCAGTTATTGCCCCAAACGTCCCCGCTTTGTATGAAGCTCATTTTGGAATTCCAATGGCTGGAGCTGTTTTAAACGCTGTCAATGTCCGTCTAAATGCACAAACGATTGCTTTTCTTTTGGGCCATAGCTTGGCTGCTGTTGTCATGGTGGACCAAGAGTATTTTCCCTTGGCCGAGGAAGCTTTAAAAGTATGGGAAAATAACAGTAAAGGAAAATTTAAGGCTCCAGTTCTGATTGTAATTGCTGATAAAAACTGTGATCCAACACCGGTCCAATATGCTCTTGAGAAAGGGGCAATTGAATACGAGAAATTCCTAGAAACTGGCGATCCAGACTTTCAATGGATGCCACCAGAGGATGAGTGGCAAACTATTGCTTTGGGCTATACTTCCGGCACAACAGCTAGTCCTAAAGGAGTGGTGCTGCACCATCGTGGGGCTTATCTTATGGCGCTGAGTAATGCTGTGATTTGGAGCATGCAAGAGGGAGCTGTTTATCTGTGGACTCTACCACTGTTTCACTGTAATGGTTGGTGTTTCGCTTGGACAATTGCTGCAATTTGTGGGACTAACATATGCCTTAGACAGGTAATTCCGTTGTTCTTTTTTCTGCACACGGAATTCTCATGCCTTATTTGCAACTTAATAGAGAGCAGTGCGTAATCTGCTTGGTCATAGGTATGCCAAACTAATTGGCACATGAAAAAATAGATTTCAGCTATAGTATGCTTTGACCTACGAAGTATTGGATTACCAAATCCTAATTGAGTAAGATGGACGACTGCAGTCATAATTGTTTATTTTGCACCATATCTCCTAGTGCTGACATTTAGAGAAAATTCAAACTATATAGAATGGACAATAGCGTTTGGGTATATTATGAAATTGGACACTAAGGCGGGAATTTAAAAATTAGAGGGAGGACATGACAGGAGTTTGGCTAGGTAGCACGCAACTCCATTTCTTTTCTTCCCTTTTTGGAGTTCCGAGTTTGGTTGAATTGTTTTCCATTTCGCTTGGTTGGTTTGCAGTGTAAAACTTAATTATCTCAATAGTTATTGAAATGGAAGCACTTGGCTCTTAAGATCTATTTCTAAATTGGAGGAGGTAAAAAGAAAATGCCTTTTGAGTTGGTTTTTGAACACACTGCTCCTTATATCTGCTTTGTTTCTGGTTCTTTACAAGCTTGCCTTCTGTTCCCGTTTTCGGCATGCAGGTAACCGCAAAGGCTGTTTACTCGGCTATAGCCCATCTTGGTGTGACTCATTTTTCTGCTGCACCTGTGGTTCTCAATACCATAGTTAATGCCCCAAAAGAGGAGACCATCCTTCCTTTGCCTCGTCTTGTGCACGTCAGCACAGCCGGTGCTTCTCCTCCTCCTTCTGTTCTTGCAGCAATGTCACAACGTGGCTTCCGTGTCTTACACACTTATGGCCTTTCTGAAACCTATGGCCCCTCCACTGTATGCACGTGGAAGCCCGAGTGGGATTTACTTCCCCCGGATGTCCAGGCACGTCTGCATGCACGCCAAGGTGTGAGATATGTTGGTTTGGAGCGATTAGATGTTGTTACCACGAAAGACATGAAACCTGTCCCAGCAGACGGAAAAACAATAGGAGAGATTGTATTCAGAGGTAATGTTGTAATGAAAGGGTACCTGAAGAATCCTAAAGCTAACGAGGACGCTTTTGCTGGAGGCTGGTATCACTCGGGTGATCTTGCAGTTAAGCATCCGGACGGATATATAGAAATCAAAGACAGATCAAAGGACATCATCATTTCCGGTGGTGAAAACATAAGTAGTGTCGAGGTCGAGAATATCCTATATCTACATCCAGCAATACTAGAGGTATCTGTAGTGGCAAGGCCGGATGAGCAGTGGGGCGAGTCGCCTTGTGCATTCGTGACATTAAAGGCTGATGTGAAGAAAACAGACCAACAACAGTTGGCAGAAGATATTATGAACTTTAGTCGATCGAAAATGCCTAAGTACTGGGTTCCAAAATCAGTTGTGTTTGGACCATTGCCAAAGACTGCTACTGGGAAAATACAAAAGCACTTGTTGAGGACAAAGGCAAAGGAGATGGGACCAGTGAAGAAGAGTAGATTGTAATTATAATGGTCTGCAGCTAAATAATACAGAAGCATGTTTTCTCATTAGTCATTATCAATAAAATTATACTACTTTGATCAAGAAAAATAATACAAAGGCAACTTTGAGTTTGTCTTTGTAGCTTAGGGTCGACATATCTCTATCTATCTTTGGTCTTTACTGTACATAAGTAAGTCTTACGTATTAGCTGAACCTTTCTTATATTTCTTAGTATGTGAAACAAAAACTTTTCTTTGTTAATGTCCTCTCTACTAGGCAAATTACTTATTATAATTTGTAGGATGAAACATACTTGACGGGAGCCTTGGCGTAACCAGAAAAAGTTGTTGTCATGTGACCAGGAGGTCACGGGTTCGAGTTGTGGAAATAGCCTCTTGCGGGTAAGCCATTGTGGTTTGGCCCTTTTCCGGACCCTGCCCATAGCGGGAGCTTAGTGCACCGGTTGCTCTTTTTTTTAGGATAAAACATAGTAATAACCACTTTATAATTTCAAAACGTTGTTGATTTTTGGTTAATTTTTTAAAAAGTAACCTTATAAATCGCGTTCATTGATAAGAAATTAGCTATAGAGTACACGTTCATCACCAAAACTCAGAATGATACATGGCCTGCGACACATTACATCATCTATTTGCATTTAGTTTGGTAATCGTTCATATAACCAAGGTAGAAATAGCCCGCTGGCCATTTTTCGTCCATATTTTTGAAAAATAGCCACTATCTTAGTAATTCAAATTCCACAAGTGAAACTCTAGGAGACACTCGGGGAATTTGAATTCTCCGGACAATAGCTATTTTTCAATTTTAAAGGCAGAAAAGTGGGTGAAGTTTTTACCGATTGTCCCTCTTTGTATCAATTGTTTCGTAAACGAATCACTTTTATTTTTCTGCCAACGATGAACCTTTTAATTCACCAAGATCCTTTTTAGCAAGCTTAAAATCTTACGAGAAAATATTGGACCACAATCTAAAATTTTGCATGGTATTATAAAATTTAGATCATAGTTTAATATTTTATGAACAAACTATAAGTTATATGAGCAAACATTAGACCTGAATTTAATATTGTCCGAAAGGGTAATTTTTCAAAGGATATATGTGCACAAAATCTTATAATGGGGACAAAATCTAAACAGTATCCTTAAAATGGACATTTGTGCAAATCAGCCGAAAAGTGGCTATTTGTGATTTTTCCACAAGCGACTTGAAGCCCATTTATATTCGGGTTATGACTCCAAACCCGTGAACCCATTTTGAATCTGACCAGTGTAAAGTAACCCGCCATAAATGATGAAACTAAACCTACAAAAGCCGCCGGTTGCCGCCCAACCGCAAGCCTCCTCTTTACCTAAGATCATTTTCAAACTTTTCAATGCAATATTTTCTTTTTTCCAATCTATTTGTCTTAAATTAATTGCAGTTTCATTTTTCCTGAGCTGCAATGAGTGATCGAGCAACTGAATCAAATGAGGCACAGTCAAGCTCAGAAGAAGCTCAGAAGCCTCAGATTGAGCCTATTCGGATGCCTACTGTGGAGGAAATAAGGGGACAAGACATTTGGAACAACTGTGCTGTTCGTAGTGTTGTTAGTGGAGTCATGGGTATGTTTTAATTACACTCCTAGTTTGATTTAATTTTTGTGTCATATTGTTCAGTTTTTTGGTCATGTCCTGCATCGACCACCAGATGCACCTAGTGGGAAGCCAGGAATTTTTTCAAGTGTGTTCAAACTTAAAAGAAGTAAAAAATGTTCAAAATAAGTTGTATGTATCTAAAACCTAATATTTTACCTATATACGCAGTGACGAAACTTCGAAATATGTAGCTTTGCCCTTGGATGCACCGGTATGTTGTTGTAAAACCATGGCTAGTGATGGTGTTAAAAGAGTACGAGATAGAACTAAAATCAGATGGAATGAAGTTGTCTGACCTACAATTTCTAGGATACATGCAGACTTAGCAAAACATAGGGCACACTAGAAGAAATACAGCGGTGGAGCTAAGATTTAAACTTTATGGTGTTTAAATTCTAGGATAGCAGCATAACGTGTTAGTAACTGGATTCTGAATTTAATTTTGTATATATTTAGTGATTTTTTTAATATAAATACAAAGTTTGGACTAAAGCTACTAGGTTCGGCTAAAACCATGTGGCTTCTAGGGTTCTAGCTCCGCCCATGCATACATATTAGTTGAGAATATGTTCTAGGAGTGGTTTAGCCTTTTAGAGATTTATACGTTTAGAATACTTGTATAATATTGGCGTGAGATGAGTTTAAATGGAATAACGTAGTCGACAAGGATTCATATAGCTGAATCCAACTTCTTTGGGACTGAAACGTATTAGTTGTTATTTTTGTTTATTGTTCATTGTTATTTTAAATGGATAGTTCAAATTATCATTCTTGCAATACATTAACATAATGGATGACAATGCTTGTCTTATGCCGGAAAAATTGGATGACACTATTTCTATGTTTTATGTCATAATTATGTTACGAGTGCCGAAGTAATGCAAGAGTCTTTAATCTTAATCCTGTTGCAATGACTGTTATTCTCTTGTAGAGAGCTTCATTCCAGTTAGCTTACAAGCTCTATCAACTGTTGTTGTTTTGTGAACAAAATCTGGTTCCAGAGCTTCTCGTTGTATCTAATTTGATAATTCTTTCCGGTAACTTAAATGGAATATCTCAGTGGATGCTTATGGACTGTGCTGTGAGGTTACTTTGTGGGTTCATTTGTTGACGCATTATTTCCGTTTTGTAGGAGGGGGACTAGGGTTGTTCATGGGTCTGTTTCTAGGGGCACTGGATAACCCAATAATGCAAGAGGAAATGACAACGAGGCAACAACTTGTATACCAAGCAAAGCAGATGGGTCGGAGGAGTTGGAGTTCCTGCAAAACTTTTGCTGTTATGGGTTTGGTTTTCTCTGCTGCTGAATGTGTCGTTGAGAAGGTACTTTTGATCTTAGCGATGGTAACTATATGGGGTTCTACAGCTCTTGTTTTACAATTTTCTTGTTAATTTTTTAAAAAAGGGATAAGAAGTTGGGAAATCATTCTTACAATTAGAGTTCGGTACTTTCCAAATATTCTGAAGCTCAAATGTCATAAGTAATTATTTTCTATTATGTTAAAAGGCACGGGCAAAGCATGACATGACAAATACAGCAGTAGCAGGGTGCGTAACAGGAGGCACATTATCAGCTAGAGGTAACATTTGTTGCTTTGACAATGCAAAATCTATACAAAAGGAATCTTCAGTAGATATATTTTCATATCTTGCATATGTTACTTGATTCATATATTTTTGGTCTAGAATTCTAGATAGAGCTACATGGATAGTGAGATTCATATAGAAACGAGCAGGATAATAGTTTCACATTGAAAAGCAAAAGAACAAATTTGAGGGTCATGTCATTGGAATGTAACTGGTAAAGTTGTTGTTATGTGACCAGGAGGTCAGGGGTTCGAGCCGTGGAAACAGCCTCTTGCAAAAATGCAGGGTAAGGTTGCGTACAATAGACCCTTATGGTTCAGCCCTTCCCCAGATCTCGCGCATAGTGGGAGCTTAGTGCACCGGGCTCCCTTTCATGTCATTGGAATGTAACTCACACGTACAAGAAGAAAGACAAAATCAAATGTTATAACGTAAATTTTCCCCAAAGAGGTATTAGCAACTTAAAGCGATCCAAAGATTTGAGAACAATGTGTTGGTTGAAACAGTTGTAGCCAATCACAACTAGCTTGGGATTAAGGTGTTTGATGTTAATGTACCTTTCTCTTAAAAGAAGGCGTTCACGTTGGTGTTGTTGCATTTCTTCCTCGATTTTGTTACATATGCTCGTCCTGCTAATTTCTTCTTACTTGAATGAAATATTAGCTTACCTCAGTAGATTATTTTTGAGACCTACATGAATATTATGTTTTGTAACATATGGACTTGGGACAATTAGGATTGCAGTAGGATTTCTTTTCGCTGTGGAATAGGATTGTATTTTGGTATTAGTGGGAGACAGATATCTTTTAACATTAAATACGGATGGAGTGATACATCTTCTCATAGTAGTCATTGTTGTTGACATGAGTACTAAAGTAAGATACAGAAATTCATGGGGGCTTTACCTGAGCCCTATATATATATGTGTGTGTGTGTGTGTAGTGCTGCTATGTGACAATGTCAAAAACCAGTTTCTTATTCTTGACTTAATTCATTATTTATGAGTGTGGTGAAGAAAGGGGGGTGGGTTGTTGGGCTGCTTTCCAAGGATATAAGGGAAAAGAGTTCTTCTTCTGGCTTTTGACATTTGATCTAAACTTGCTTGTAGAATGAAGCCTGTATCGGGCTGTTTAAATTACAGCTTTTCTATCACTGATGAAGCAAGTAATTGGACTGTGCTATTCCAAATTATTATTTCTTTTATATTTATAGTACAATCCCATTTGTTTCAGGTGGCCCAAAAGCTGCATGTGCAGGTTGTGCTGGCTTTGCTACATTTTCAGTCCTGATTGAGAAGTTCTTGGATAGATATCACTAATCCAGTGAGTAATTAGACAATATGGATCATTCATCAGCCTGAAATATGGAAGTTACACCAACCTACATATATATAGAGCCCGTTTGGATTGGCATAAAAAAATGGCGTTTCCGCAAAAATAGCTTTTAAGCCAAAAAATAAGTTGGAGCTGCCCAGCTTATTGTTTTTGGCTTGTTTTAAGCAGTTTTTATCTTATTTTAAGCACTTTTTAACTTTTGCCAACTACCGAAAAAAACTTAAAAGAGTTTAAAAGCTGATTTGACCAGCTTAAAGCCAATTCAAACACCCTCATAGTCACATTCTTTTTTACCCCAACTGTAAGATATTGATATAATGATATCCTTTTCATAAAAGATATTGATATAATGATATTGGGCAATGTTGTAAACATGCAGCTCACTTCATACCTCATATTTGCCCTCTGTTAACTTTCTTGAGTCTGTGAATCTGGTCCAGGAAAAATCTAGCATTTATTTAGACACGTTTAAGACATTTTTGTCTAATAAGGTAGTCAGTCAGGAAAATATTAAGCTTAAACTTGCTATAATATTTTGTTGCTATTAAATGAGAAGTCTAAAATTAAATTGTTTACAAATATGATAGCGTTTCATTCATTACAGAAATAACTAATAAGAAAATAGTATCATATAAAATGAAATAAGGAAAGTAATTGTTTTTGAATGGGAGTTGATTTACTTGCACTAAAATTCTAACAGTAGTTAGTTCTACTTGTATATGATATAATAATATTAAGATATCATTGTGTTAAATTGTATAAGTTGCGCCTAAAGATGAAGGAAATATTACTTGCACGTATGAGCTTTTTCTCTCAAACAATATTCCATTAATGACAATTAGACAAACTATATTTTCTACTTTTGGTTGAATTTGGTGTTGTATTGGTTTAGGCAAGAAAAAGATGAAGTCTGTATATTTTTATTACAAACAAAAAAGATTTTAAAAAAGGTTTTAGTATTTCTATTCCTCACTTTTGTGAAGAAATAATAAATGAATGAAAATATTTTAGTTAAATAAATATTGATAACTTAATTGTACTTTTTATATACACATTTTTTAATTTATAGTATTAAATTACTACAAATTTTTGCAGCGCCGAAATGCATAATTAGGAGTTATGGAGTAAAAATTGCATGGGGCAATCTATTTGGTCGCTCTCATTTAACTTATACCCATTTTTTTAAAAAAATTTAACTTGTACACACTTTTTAAATAACGTCAGCCCCTTTCTCCTCCTCCTTCTCCTCCTTCGTTTTCTATTTCTTTTAATGTAGAAGCTAAGAGCTAATACCAAAATCCCGAGTCTTGATACCAAAATCAGTAGGGGAAGCAGGACTTTGAACTTTAGGCTCTGTTCCAAACAGAACCATTTCCTCACTCAAAAGAAGAGCAAGATTAATACCTTCTGATTCCAACTTATCATCTACTAATAAAGTTGACTACTTTCTGTCCATACAAGTGATTGGATTTCCGCAGTTTCTATCATAGCCAAAAGGGTTGCCAAAAGTGAACATTTGTTTGCCGTCAAGAATGGATTTTGGGCTATTAATTCCAGCTTCAACTACATCAGATAAGCTTCTGGTGAGAAATCCACTGAAAATTCTTGGCGAAATGGGTGGGTTTGTATGATCTTTTGTGGGAGATATTGGAAATGAAATAGTGTTGTCAGCCATAAGACCTTGCTATTTGCTGCTCACTGCTCTTTTTGAATTGTTCCTCAGCATCGCCATGAACATTTAACAGCTCTTTCTCAGAAAAACAAAAAGTTTAAAAGAAGATGGATAAGCTACGAAAATAAAAACTTCAGTTCTTCGCTAGTTACAAAAATAAAAAATTCAGCTCTAAAGCTGAAGTTCGTCAGTTACAAAAATAAAAATTTCGTCAGTTACAAAACAAAAACTTCAGCTTTAGAGCTAAACTTCAGGCCCGGCTACTAGAATGCTGAAGTTTTGCGTGATTGTCTTTGCTACTTCAGCCCCGTATAATGAAGTTATGTCAAAAAGCGGGTACACTTGCAATTTTTTTTGCAAAACAAATATAAATTAAAACGTGACACAATAAACGGGTATAGATATAAATGCAAGCTAGTGTGACTATTGGGCCTGTTGGTGGGGCTAAGCCTAAAGAGTCCAATTGATGTTGATGTGGTAACAGCGCAACTCCGATATTTTCTACTTCTCTAGGGCAAGATACACATTTGTCGGTCGGCCAAAAATAATTATATTCGCTAGTCAAATATATATATATCGACTATTATTTTTTTAGAATGACTATATTATGTAGTTTTCCCTACTTTTTATGTACCTATACGTAGTCATCCTTCTTTTTAATTTTTTCATATTCTTTGTAATATCTTTTTCTTTTGTTACAACGGTGATATTTGGATCAATTTGTGCACGCGTACTCTATCAAAAAGTGGCAAAACTACTCGTAATGAAGGAAGTTTAATTGAATCCTATTCTCGAAAAATTATACTGCAAAAATAAGATTAAAAAAAAATAAACTTTTGAATTTTTGAATTTCCTTTAACATAAGAGAAAATTTCAATATAGTGACAAAGATATTCAAGAAATTGCTTTAAGTTCTAATACTAGATTTGCCTTTATTGTATTTTTTTAATCTTCTTATTAAAAATTTTATATTCCTCCAACCAGCACAAATATAGATAATTACCTACCCTATGAAATATCTTCTATTGAATGTCTTTAATACGTGTAGGTTAAAATAAAGTAGCGATATTATAGTTATTGTCTTTTACTCATATACTCAATCACCCTTTTTTCTCCTAACACCAACCTTTTTCCACTTTCTCTTTCTATATAAATAAATTTTTCTTGCCTTTGTTTGCTTCTATAATATAGAGATGGCAGATTCTAATAGAAGTGAAGAATTTTCTGTCTGCTCTCAAAATCATGAGGTACTCTTTCTCAATTTTTACACACAAATTATAATACTAGAAGTTGGTTCTTGTGTTTAATTATCTTCTTCTATTTTTCCTTCTACATCCGTTAATATTTTCTTGAGCAGAGAGTCTATTCAAAATCGTCTTTCTACTTCACAAGGTAGGGGTGAGATTTGTATATACACTAACCTTTCGAGACCTTACCTTGTGAGATTACACTGTGTTTGTTGTTGTTGTTGTTGTTATTATTTTCTTGAACCGAGAATTTATTGAAAATAGTTATTTCTATCTTCATAATATAGGGTAAGGTCTGTTTTCTTTTACATTCTTTTCTTTTTTTCTCTACAAAAGGAAATCTTTTTCTTTTCGGTGATTTTATTCTTTTGTTTCTCATATGGTGTTTGGTTTTTGTTTTGGTATCCCAACTATTCGGATTCGCGTCGTGTAACAGCTTGTTTGGATGGTTGTTACACATTGTATTGTATTGTATTGTTATGTTAAATACGATGTTTGTTTTGATTGTTACTTAAATTTTATTGTATCGTATCGTTAAATCCGTCCTTACGTAACAATGAAATGTGTCACTTTATGTAACGACCGATTTGGTGTGCTCGTGTCGTTACCTTGTCTTTTTCTCTCAATCTCACCCTTCATTATTATTAAATAATTTTATTTTACTATTTACCATACCTTTTTATATATTAATTTTACCCTGTATCGTAGTTTTTCTTTATAATATTGCAAGTTTATTCTTCATATTGCTGGTGCCTGGTATCATGAAACAATGACAAACAATACAATCTATCCAAATATTATATTTATCAAACGATACAGTACAATACAATACAGTACGATACGATACATTATAAAACGATAGGTAACCACCGTCCAAACAAGCAGTAAGGGATAATTATATGTTGGAAAAAGAACTATTTCTCCTTTCCCACCAGTGTTATTTGAACTTTTGTTTTTCAAAGTACTTATGTAAAAATGAAAAAATACTTCATCACTTGTCCAACCAAATGCTATTTTGCTATACTTTTATTTATCAAATGGATTTTATTATATACATCTTTATGCTAACATGTTGTATCATGTTACTTGTATATTTTTCAAATTATCAAACAACGTGTGAAGTTCTATAATTATTCGTAATTGGCTTTTAAATAACCTGAAAGTGTAAAAAAAAACTGTTTATTAAGTTATTTGTTTTTTTTCAAATATATTTAATTGATTAAGTTACTTGTTGGACAAAACTTCACGTAATAGATAAGTAGCTTTAACTACCACCAATAGCATGTGAAATTTGTGAATTGAAGATTGCTTTGTTGCACACCTCTTGTGCCTTTTTGGCAATCTTATCTCTTGTTTAATTCCAAATATTTCATTCTCTTTTATCTTCAAGTAAAATTGGAAGAATATATATAATAATTTTTATTTGTTGAGTGTAATTAGTTATGTGTATTAACGATGTATAAATTATTATAGTATCCGTTTAAATTAACCTATATTTAAAAATAAAAAAAAAGGTAACTCTTCATAACAACTTAACATGATAAGTTTAAAGATAGTAATGATGGAGTTGATATAATTCTTTAATTTGTTAGTGTATATAACTTAAATTCTTAATTGTTTTTTACCTTTAAATTAAACACCATTACATAAGTTAAAACTCCCTTCATATATTCGTTTAAATAAGATGTAGAATAACTTTTCTTACATGTAAATAATCATCTTGTTCATAATAAAATAATGGATTATATCTTCATATATAAGTTTGATGTAGGAACACTTAGCTTCTTCTAGTTTGAATAATGTGTCATTAATTACGAGATTCTTTTTCTATGTATGTGTGTGTATGTTTTTTTTAAAAAAAAATTAAGTTTATGGGTATATTGGGAGACTTGGGAAGAGTATACAGGGCATCACGGTGCACAAAGTAGGGTTCGAGGAAGGACATATTCTAAGAGATGTGATCAGTGGCAAAAGCATGATTTTCACCACATAGATTCAAAAATAATAAAATATATACATGCAGATAAGCTAAGGGGATATATATATATATATATATATATATATATATATAGAGAGAGAGAGAGAGAGAGAGAGAGAGAGAGAGATTAACCTTTCGACTGAACCCCTTCTGTCCACCTAGCTCCGGCCTCGGATGTGATGTGGACCGCCTTATATAATTTGTGAGGTTGTGAACCATATATATGCATCTATAGGCTATAGTATGCAAGATATCAGTAGATTTATTCCTGATTCCCACATGATTTTCTTTGTATTTTTCTTGATGTGGTCCAAGAAAATATCATGAGAAATTTTGAATAAATGTCATAAATAATATATATGTTTTGAGGGTTAATATGGGTCTACAATATGTGGCCCTAAACATGAGTGAATATTTTGTGTATATTTCAGCCACTCATAGCTCAAAGCATTTAGTTTTAGCACATTATTACTTAAAATCTGTTGGCAAAAAAACATTTAGTTTTTATTCATAAATTTAATGAGCTTTAATGACTTTAACCAAGCCTAATCTGTTCATTTGTGAATTGTTATAGGCCGTTGCTTCAGGTAAAAGATATGGAGAACTTGTGCCAAAGAAAAAGCCTTTAATTTTAAAGGCGAGTTTTTTTTAAGTGTTTAAGTTATATACGTCGTCAGTATAAGAATTTGACAACGTCATTATAAGTTATTTATAATGTATGGTCTGCGTGCAGGACCATAAACGTGCATTTTTTGATTCCGCAGACTGGGCCTTGTGCAAGGTAATATAATATTAACCTCAATCTCATACTTCTTAAAGTCTATAAATTCGGACTATCTGGTTACCTAAATAAAATTATACTGCCATATACAATAAGAAGAAAGAGTTTATGAAAAATAAACCAAATAACTTGCTATAATAATTACTTACATTAATTCTGTAAAAAAAAAAATAAAGCATTTATATTGTCAATATATATAAGTTAAATTCAAAATGAAAAGGATGTTTTGGATGAGGGAGTTTGGGGGGGGGGGGGGGNTGTATTAATTTACCGTAGTTAAGTGATTTGATGAGGTGATAATGTATGCTAATTAACCATGATTAAGAATGAAAACGTATATGTGCAAATACATGTCATGCATGATGCATCTATTCACTTTATATAATTATGGAAAGTGTTTATATAATTATGTAAACACTTTATATATGTGAAGGGTTTTCAGCTCATGCCTAATACTTAAGGGTTCCATCATTTTTGTCTTGTATTTTTCTTATGCATTTTAGGTTCCTATTTTTCCTATAATCTCTATGGTGAAACTAATATTCTCCCCTTTTGTTGTTCTTGTATTTCTTATTATCTTGAGCCGAGGGTCTTTCGGAAACAGTTTCTCTACCCCTTTGGGGTAGGGGTAAGGTCTGCGTACATACTACCCTCCCCAGACCCCACTTGTGGGATTTTCCTGGGTTGTTGTTGTTGTTGTTGTTGTTGTTGTTGTTGTTGTTGTTGTTGTTGCCTAATACTTAAGGGATCGTTTGGTATGTGAGATAAGGGATAATAATCGCGGGACTTAATGTGTTATTATTTTATCCCGCATTTGGTTAAATTTTGAATTAGAGATTAGCAATCCTGGAATTAATTAATCTTGTACTGTTGATCAATTGAATTACAACAACAACAACAACAACAACAACCACCTAGTATAATCTCACAAGTGGGGTCTGGGGAGGGTAATATGTACGCAAACCTTACCCCTGCCCCGAAGGGTAGAGAAGCTGTTTCCAGGAGACCCTCGGCTCAAAAAAGCAACAGGAGACGATATATTAGTACCATAAAATGCATAATAAAATAACAACAATATTGGAGATATGAAATACAGAATACGATCAATTGAATTAGTGTTTAATAAAAGCGATTTTCTTGAGATTGTTGATTATCTAACTTGTATTTTTCATACTACCAATCATTTCACTATATATAACAGCAAGGTGCAGGAGTTAGTCAAAATTCAACAGTAGCTATAGAGACATTGAGCCCAAAGTTGCAGGTAATTGCTCTAACATTCTAGAGATTATGTTTTCTTAAGTATTTTAGCAATAATTATAGTAATATATTAATTTGCTACTAAGTATGTAAAATTAAAAATGTAATGAATATTCCATTTGAATTGTAACAGAGAACGCCGCATCAACAACTACCTCCTCGAAGACCTGCGTGCACGTCTTGACATGTTAGCTTTTATTGAAAATCTCGTCAATAAAATAATCAGAAATATTATGGGGTTATATGTAAGTAATTATAAATAACTCATGTGAAAAGTTTCACTAATTATGAAATGGTGTTACTTTCTACCATTTGTTTGAGAATTTCAACATTATTATAATTACTTCGCTCCAATTTTCATAGTGTGTAAATGTAACTCTCTAATGTATGTTGCTCAAAAGTGTGAGGAGCTGCATGTATTTGCGTAAAAATAGCACGGTATAACCAGTTTTCGGACCGATCATTTAAAAATAGTCAGCATTTACGAAGTCAATGAAAAATAGCCACTATTTTGCTGCAACAGAGACCGGTCCAGCATAATATACTGGAGTTTGGTGCACCTGTGTGTGAACTCCACCATATTATATTGGACCGATATACTTTGCTGACTCCAGTATAATATACTGGAGACTGGAGCACCGGTGCTCCAAACTTCAGTGTATTATACTGGACAATTATACTTGCTGGAACTCCAGTATATTATGTTGGAGTTCTAGTGCACTTATGCTGGAACTCCATCATATTATGCTGGAGTTCTAGCATACTTATCCTGGAACTCCAGTATAATATGCTGGAGTTCAAGCATACTTATGCTGAAACTCCAGTATAATATACTTGCGTATTTTTCGGATTTTGAACAGTTTTTTCGCTTAGATTTATCTTTACATGAAAAGTGGCTAAATTTCGATTACTTTTAAAACTGGGCTATTTTTGAACGACCAGTTGTAAATCTGACTATTTTTGAATTTCTCCTTGTATTTGCTCCCCTCAAAATCTTCCTATCGTTGGTTCAAGTCGAATTTCAAATCGAAGAAATTTAAAGATATTCACGGCCAGATAGATCGTAATAACACAACTTCCTATTCAATAAACATTTCTACTTCGACAAGCTTTTGCCGTTCCATCAATGTTAGTTTATCCATGGAATTTTGGGTCTCGGGTAAAATATTATTTGAACCTGAAGTGAAATGTTTAATTATCGATTTTAGTTTACAAATCTTCAAATTTTATAAAATATTTGTTATATGTCATGACCAAATACAATTTTAACTTGAAAAAATTACTTTCAACTTTAATTTCACTAAGGACAGAAAACAACATTTTGTTGAATCCAAGTATCAATAGTGGCCTAAAATTGGCCTTTAGTAACACAAAGATCTTGTACAAGTTCAATTCGGTTTGACTTTGGTTCGCTTAGAAAATGTGGTTCTGAATATATTTTTATATTTATGATCTGGTGAATTATCAATAATTCATTTAAAAATGTATAAATATATAATAAACTTTTTAATACTCAATTTATATTGAACCCATAACATAAGCTAAATCCACCCATGCCTAGTACTTACATTTTTTTTCCTGGCACGCCATAGCACATTCACACAAAAAATGAAACATGACAATGTGTAGCTGCTCTCAAAATAATAGTCGAAAAATGTATATATATATATATATATATTTTGTATGTTATATACAAAAAATATATAAATTTTGTATACTTTTCTCGGCTACCGAATATAAATAATTTCTAGCACGGGTTAAAAGTAAAAAAAGCCCTACAAAAATCCATTAAATTTTTTCTATTTATCGGGTTATGACTTGCATAAAATGCCGAAAAAAAAACATTCTCGAGAGTTTGGATTTTGTATATATTAAAAAGAACAACTTTGTAATTAGAGAATCTTAAACTAGAAGTAATTGTGTTTGCCTCGCATAGAATCCAATATGGGATTGAAAAATAGCCACTATTTTATAAAAATGTAAAAATAGCACGGGCTAGCCACTTTCTGACTGGTCATTCAAAATAGCCAGCGGTTGCAAAGTAATTGAAAAATAGCCACTATTTTGTTGCAACACGGAAAGTTCCAGCATAATATACTGGAGATCGGTGCAACTATGTATGAACTTCCAGCATATTATGCTGGAATTCCAACACACGAAAAGTTCGAGTATATTATGTTGGACATGTGCATTATACTGGAACTCCAGTATATTATGCTGGAGTATTTTTTCGTATTTTTCGGATTTTGAACAGTATTTTCGTTCAGATTTATCTTTACATAAAAAGTGGCTAAATTTCGATTACTTTTGAAACTGTGACTATTTTTAAATGACCACTTGTAAATTTAGCTATTTTTCAATTTCTCCCTTTCAAAATTAGATCTCCTAAATCCGATTCCATTAAAGAAGCTTTCACATGATATAAATGGAACTTTAGTTTCTAAAAAGGCACTCATTAACCATATCTCTCACTAGGGGCGGCAAAATAATTAAAAGAAAGCAGTTAATCACCCATATTATCCACTAAAATATGGGTTGGATTATGAACTTTTTTAAAACGGGTTAAATATGGATAAGAACCATATTATCCATTTAGAAAATGGATAACTAATGGGTAACTAATAGATAACCAGTGGCTCTAACTTTTAAATTTGTAAAGCCTCAAATCTGGGTTTTCTCAAGTTAAGGAGATTAAGAATTCTCCTAAAAGTGATCATATGCGAGAAGTCATGGATAATATGGTTACCCATATTATCCGTCTGTTAACCCATTTTTTATCTGTATTAAATATGGGTCGGGCCAGATAATTTATCCATTTTTTTATTATCCATTTTTTACCCGAACCATATCTGACTCGATCCGCCTGTTTGCTACTCCTATCTCTGACCATTGGTTTGAAGGAGGCTTTAGCCACTCATCTACAATTCCACGTAAAGACTATTATAGATAACAGTATCAAGTGAAAATAGTACGGGCTAGCCATTTCTCGGACTAGTAATTAAAAAATAGCCAGTATTTGTAAAGTCATTAAAAAATCATTGTTCTGCTGAAACACAAAATGTTCCAGCATAATATATTGGAATATGGAGCTCCTGCATATAAACTTCCAGCACATTATGTGGGAACTCCAGCATACGAAAAGTTCTAGCATAATATGCTTGATTATATAGAGGTCTCATATGTAAACTTCCAGCATATTATGTTGGAACTCCGACACATTATAAAACTCCAACATATTATGCTGGAATTTCATATGTAGATAAATTGAACTCCATCATATTATGCTAGAATTTTTCTGAATTTTTAAGGGTGATTTTGTTCAGATTTTATCTTTACATGAAAGAGTGGCTAAATTTCGATTGCTTTTGAAATTGTGATTGTTTTTCGGCTGTAAATCAGGCTATTTCTAAAAAAAAATCTTCAATATGAAGGATAGTATCACGACCCAAAATTCGTTAGTCGTGATGACACCTAACTCGACCCGCTAGGTAAACCACCTGACAGTCCAAACAATCCAAATGAGATTTATAGGAAAACACTGAAGAATTATCGGAACATTCATATATTAATCCAAAGACTGGTAGTACGACTCATGAGCTTCTAAGACTTGGAATTTACAAAGCTGGTACAAATAAATACACGATCTGTTTGAAAGTTACATAAACAAATTAGCATAAATCTAAAGCTACTAAGGACAAGTGGCAGATATATCCAATGCACGAACATCTTTAGAGTCAGCTCTCAGCATCACCCGCAGCTCCACTCTGAAATATGCACGCAAGGTGCATGTCACGACCCAAAATCCAATAAGGGTCGTGATGGCGCCGAACACCGCTTTCAGACAAGCCAATCATATATACTTAATTAAATTCTCGTTTAAATAATTGTGAAAACTATGATTTTCCTTCAATTTGGCTAGTAAAAGATAATCTTTACAAAATAAATAAATAAATGTTTAGAAGTTAATACAGAATACACCATAATCATCCCAAAACCCGATGTCACAAGTGCATGAGCAATTTCTAAGAAATAAGGTAGTACAACAACTGTCCAGAATACAATTGGACAGAAAACAAAATAGAGTGCAATACTCTGAAAGAGACTCTGCTGGCTGTGGATCGTCTCGAGAGGTGCAGCTCGCCTAAGTCCCCGTATCAACCATGCCGCTGCGCCAAACTAGGCCACTAGGATTACATGCGCCTGTGCAACATAATGCACAACAAGTGTAGTATGAGTACAAAAACAACGTGTACCCAGTGAGTATCCGGTCTAATCTCAAAGAAGTAGAGACGAGAGGTCGACTTCGACACTTACTAGTGGTCCAATAGTAATATATTAATAATGTGAATAATCATGGATTTATTAAAAATGGCAGTAAATCAAAGTAAGTCAAGAAATAAGTAAACATTTCTTTTTATATTAAGAAGTCTCCAAATTCATAATCTATTATTTATCAATTTATCTCAGACCAGGGAGGCAATGTCAATTTATAAATCTCAAGCAAGCATTACAAGCATGTGCAAGTCATGCCGAAGTCCTACGGCCCGATCCAATAGATATTTAAATTGTGCACTGCCAGAGGGTCGAATGGCGCGAACCATAGATGCATCTATTTAATCTGCCGAGGCGTTCAAACCGTTCCAAAATTAAACACACATAGACAGTCAATCGAGAAGTCATTGGGGAACAATTATCCGGGAAAATTGAAATTTCTCTTTTATCAATTAAGAAAATGAGGTTAAACCTTTTAGAAAATTCATTTACTTATTCGATATGATTTAAGCAATTTAGATTGTCAATAAGATTACAAATATTTCAGGTATAGCACACTTTTGGGTCCTAGACTACCCGGACTTAAACATAATAGTAGATGTGTATGGACTCTCATCACCTCGTGCGTACGTAGCCCCCACAAATAGAAGCACAAATCCAATTAATTCACCTATGAGGACAATTCCCTCTTACAAGGTTATAAAAGAGACTTACCTCGCTCTGAAGTTCCATCACCAGCGTTCCATGCCCTTCCGAAGACTCAAATTGACACACAACACTCCAAAACTAGCCAATAATTATGTAAACCCATTAATATATGTTCAATTAATCATTATAATCTAATTTATAACAATTCCTAACCCCGATCTTAAAGGTTACAAAATTTCCCTCGGATCCACGTGTCAGGATTCTGAAATTTTTCGAAGATAAAATTTACCCATAACCTCACGAACTCATATATATAATTTACTCTTAATTTCATGCCCAAAATTGTGATCAAAATCCAAGAATACCAATTTTCTAGGTTTTCCCTCAAACCTCAAGTTTTCCACAAATTTTCATGCTCAAATCCATATACAATCATGTAGTTAACTCAAAA